GCCTCTTTGCTGCTTTGGTGGTGCAAACAAATGGTGTCTGTATGACTTGGTGCAAAGAGCTTTTTGACACTCACTAGGGTTGGTATGAGTCAGAATCGATTCGACAGCAACAGGTATTTTTTGGGGGGTGGTCAGGATGGAGCCCTGGTGGCGCAGTGGTTAAGCATTGGGCTGCTAACCACAGGTCAGCAGGTCAAATCCACCAGCCGCTCTTGGAAACCCTATGGGGCAGTTCCACTCTGCCCTATAGGGTCGCTATGAGTCAGAATCGACTCGATGGCAACGGGTTTTGTTTTTTTTTTTGGTTTGGGGTCAGGACCTTGATGGGTTTGTACTAAAACAAATGGAGGCACTCTCTCTGCTGGAGCCATCACACTGATTTTTTTTTTTTTTTTTTTTTTTTTTGCAATACAGCACTGCCCTGCGGAGTCCTGTGGAGATGAGAATAAAACTTGAGGCTAAGAGGCTCTTGGGAGCTGAAGCTCAGGCCCTTGATTTGTGTAGGAAGGAAGACCACTGCAAAATGAGAATAAGGAGAGGGCTGCGCTGGGCTCTCAGCTGACCCTGAGTCCCCAAAGTGTCCTTCTGAATCCCTGGGTAGTGGTGGCATGACGACCGCCAGGCAAAGGGCACCCAGTGGAAAATTCCTAACTCTGGTCACCTTAATGAGAGGGACATTTTTGACTGTGTGGCTCTGAGGTTTCTAGGGAGATATGGAAAAAGAAAAGATAGTGCCTTCAACCCTCTCTTCAGCCTGGATGGCAGTGCATGTAACAGGAGCTGGGTGGAGAGGGGTGACCCAGATAGCCCTGGTCTCAATTCATAAGCATCAAACATCTCAGAGCAGACTCAGCCCACCAGCACTCCAGCGTTCTCCACAGTGTTCCTATTTATGATGCTGATGTAGCCAACTTACAAAGATGAACGGGAAGACTTCGCTCATAAAGCTGTATGCCTCAGATTTAAACAACAACAAAAAAGGAACTCTTATTCACAACTGTTAGCTTAATGGCAACAAATTCATTTTCTCTGATAGCACTCCCTGCTGGAAGAAAAGAACAAAGCCACTCACTTTCACTCATTCACACAACAACTATTTAGTGAGCATCTACTATGGGCTGGCACTGCACTGGCTGCTGAGAATAAAGACAGAGCTCCTGCCTTTGTGGAGCTCACGGCTGGCCTCTGGACAGTGGATGGGAGAGCAGGGTGCCCAGGAAAGCCCACAAAGAGGAAGTCATGTTTGAGCTGCACTCTGAGGGGGGAATGAGTGGGCGTTCACCCACTGAGTGGTACAGAGGTGGGGAGGGCTGGGGGGTGGAGAAGGCAGGGGGTTGTGCTAAGGGGTTGGCCTTCTCCCAGCCAGTGAGGGGTTATAAGCAGAGACTGACAAGGTCAGATTTCATTTTAGAAGGTAACGTTGGTGATTAGGAGGAGGATGTTAATTATTTGCAGTATACAGAAGAGAAATATATTTGGAAACGGCCTGCCTTCTGAATTGGCTGTTTCTCAAATTCTCAGTCCCTGGCTATGATATTCACAGTAAACACAAAAATCAAAACGGCCTAGGAACCTCTCCCTTCTCCCTTCTGATGGGTGCAGACTGCAGTCTGGATGATGGTGGGGCTAGGGTCACAACAGAGCCCCCACAAAGTATACCTTTCCTAAGATTTTATTGCAGGCTACCAATTATGCCTGCAGCCCTTTGTGGTCTAACAGCCAGGGTTAAAAACTAAAAAAAAAAAAAAAAAACCCGCTGCTGTTGAGTTAATTCAACTCATGGGGACCCCACGTGTTATACAAAAGAACTGCTTCATAGAGTTTTCTTGGCTGTAATCTTTTACGGAACCAGTTTGCCAGGCTTTTCTTCTGCAGAGCTGCTGGGTGGGTTTGAACTACCAACCTTTAGGTTAGCAGCCGATCACAAATCACTTGCACTACCCAGGGAACTTTTAACTGCCAGGGTTAGGGAGGAAGAATTCTGCCTATAATGCAAGCTGGCAGATCCTCTGGGAAGTAGTACTTGACAAAGAGTGTGCAGGACTGAGCTTCATGAAGCCCCTTTCTTCCACATCCACTTAAGTAACCCTAAGACTCTAGGGCAGGCAGGGGTGGCTCTGAGTGTGAGAGCCGAATCCAGAATTCTGGATGAAGAACAGCAGCCATTTCTGGCTTCCTATTTTGTCAGATCTCTGCGTAAGTCTGTCTCTCCAACTGCTGGACTATGAGGGCAGAGACTGTGTTTACTTTGTATCAATGAGGTCTAGCAGGAAGAAAATGTCCACTTGTTGCGCTCTGAATGAATATTCAAACTTTGATGCCTCTTCTTGGCACAAAATCTTTTCTTTCAAAACAGAAGTGCTTTTAATGTGGCCTTCCCCTTTTTCCCTTCTGGGCTGAGAATAAATTTAAGAGAACATCTTTCTCTCTGGTTTCTCCCCTACCAGAATCTGTCGTTTGCCTTAGTTTTACCTTTTTATATTACTGTTGGTGCAATCACCATCTATATCCCATTAAATCTTTTATTAGTGGCTGCTGACGGAATTTGGGCGACCCGTTTGTAAACAACGTTCCAGCCCAGCAAACGACAACAGATGTGGGGCTATTTTTGTTGTTGAGCAACATGCAGCCAAAAACAGTATGTTTGGAATCAGGGCCCCAGACTCGTCCTTGAGCTGTAACACATGGACCTTGAAACTCTTCTCTCAGATTCATTAAGGCTGATTTAAGGCGTAATACATGAACCCGTTAAAAATGAATTCCACTGTTACACAAACAAACTGGGCTCTCAATGTGGTTTGGATTTTTTGGCCTCCACATTTTGGAATCTGTTTGGATGTAAAAGTCTGACTTGATCTCAGCAAAGGCTGGGCTGCTTAATTGCAGGCATGTGCGCTGCAGCTGCCATCTCTTAGAGAACTAGGAGAGGCTGATGTGAACCAGGCTTGGTGTCACCCACACCAACCCGAAGGATAAGCCTGGAACGTCATCAACTTACAGTACACTCTGCAGCCAACCACACCCGTGAATTTTAAGAAAAACAAAGTTTAATGCTCTCTGCGCAACTGTGAAGCTGCTGATGAGAGGCAAAGACATGGCTCCTTTGGCCCTCCCCGGTCTCACTCTAAGGAGCTATTTCTGTGGTTTCAGATCAAGTCCACCAATATTTAGGGAGTTTCAATGACATGCAGACCATTGGGTGATGCTGTTTTCCCCATCACTTCTGTGGCTCCTTGGGCCTCAAGGGTTGCCGTGCTACCTGACGTCCTGCCTTCTTTGGGAGCGCTGGGAACACGAATGGGAGGGCTTTTGAAGAAGGCAGCATTGCCAGAAAACTCTGAACTAATTTCAGCTCTTCCTCTCAGAGTGCTTAGGTGTGGTCCTGCCTGGGGCTCAGCAAGTTCCCTCCTGATCTGGTGGAAAGCCTTGGGACAAATATGGAATATTAATGAAGAAACCAACAAACAGTGCCTGACTCATTTCCCTGTGCTTTTGCATTCCCAAGAGCCACCAAGTAGAAAGCTTCTTTTAATTTACATGGGACATTTGAGGAACTTCTTCTTCATGCTTCACAGAACCAGTCACAGACATGTTCATGCATCTTTCCCTGAGTCATAAAGTGACCAAGGAAATAAGAGGTGAATAGCCAGTCATCCGATCAATATTTCTTGAGTACCTACTACATGTCACATACAAGTTAAGACGAGGACATATCAGTGAGCAAAAGAGACACTGAGGGTCCCTCCCCTCAAGGCACTTCCAGTCTAGCAGGGGAGGCAAACAGTAAAGAAATAATTGCATAGATAACACAGTCATCCCTTGGTATCCGAGGGGGACTGGTTCCAGGACCCTGGTGGATACCAAAATCCAAGGATGCTCAAGTCCCTTAAATGGCGTAGTATTTGCATATAATCTACGCACATCCTTACTAGCCTTAAACTCTGTCCTCTTGCTCTCCTCAATCCCCTCACAGTAGCGCTCACAGAGGCTAAGTGCTTTTTCACGTATAATTTTGCCATCAACAGGGCTGTGCTTCTGTGACACGTACTCTAGCCACACGCTTAATGCCTTCTCAGTCTTTGCAAGCACTTTATCACAAAACAGAGACCATTTTCTGCCATTGTAGGGGCAGCACTAACACATTCATGAATTTCAGCTTCTTCCTGCTTTATTGTGTGAATGCTCAATTTGTTCTTACTGACCTTATGGCCCACTTTGGCAAGCAACATGCCACTTTTCAAAAGATCTAAGATTTTTATTTTCTCGCGGAGAGATAGCACTTTATGCTACTTCTTAACCTTTGAGGGATTGCTTTGATCACTTAATTGCTTTAGGAGCCATTTTTTCACAGAAACAAAGGGTGCACACAACACAAGTAGCCAACCAATGAGACGCGAGGTGAACCATGCTCAAACACCAAGTGCTGGAGAGAGGCGGAGGATCTGTGAAATGGCAGGAGGCTACAGCAGCGGATGCCTACACAGCACTTTATTCACGTGGATTCAGCGTGCAGTGCTCGGCTGCGCGCAGCACATTCAAGTTTTGCTTTTTGGAACTTTCTTTTCCTTTTTTTTAAATATTTTCGATCCAAGGTTGGTTGAATCCAAGGATGTGGAAGCTGAGGATATGGAGGGCCAACTGTACGTAGTTAAATGTCAGAAGTGCCAGAAGGAAATGTACGGGGAGAGACTGTGAGAGGGAAACAGAATTTAAGAGTATGGGATCACGAAGGATGTTCTGGAAGAAATGACAATTACACTGAGACCTGCAGAATGAAAAGTGCTGGAGGATAGCGTTCCAGGCAGAAAAAACCCATCTGTTGAGTGGATTCCAACTCAGAGCGACCCTATAGAGCAGAGTAGAACTGCCTCATAGGGTTTCCAAGGAGTGGCTGGTGGATTCCAACTGCTGACCTTTTGGTTAGCAGCTGAACCCTTAACCTCTGTGCCAGCAGGGCTCCTCCAGGCAGAAGTAGCACTATCACCCCATCTATTGCTTACCTCAGACTCCTTATAGTAGCGTTCTGGAATTTCATCGCAGGCAATATCAATAAAGCAAACTTCTCTCTCTTGGTCTTTGGCTTCACTGTCGAAAATCTGAAAGAGCAGAGCAACATATCAAAGGTTAGTGATACCAGGTGACACCCTCCAAGGTGCCCGCGGGTCGGTATAGATGTGCCTGAGGCAGAATAACATCCCACAGGGCATCTTCACATGGCTCAGTGACCCTGTCTAGTGCTTTCTGCCCGCCTCAGAATGTGCAAGAATTGTAACAGGCTTTTCTTCATCACTTAGGTTTTGTCACATCAGAGGCAGGTGTAGCATCAGTCGTGGCTTGGTGAGGGATAGAAGAAAAAGAAGGCTGTTTTTAGAAATGCGAGAGTGAGGAAATAAATCTCTTCCCAAAATGACGTCTGATGACTTTTGGCAGTTAATCTGAACAGGGGAAGGGAAGAGGCTGGAAAACGATGAGACAAAAAGCAGCAAGAAACACACTTTTTTTTTCATTAAACAAACTTAACATATCTTTAATTTCACAAATAATACGTGCTCATTGCATAAAATACAGATAAACAAAAAGAAAATAAAAATTGTCCAGGGATGAACATGTGTGTCATGCTTAACCATTTAAGGGCCTGTTTTCCTTGGTACACGTAGGGATAATAAGATATGGTTTGGAAAGACGCTGTTATGGTTTTTGCCAGTCTATTCTAGATTCCACTGGCTCAGAATGTTCGTCGCTTACAAAAATGTGTAAGATGTAAATTTTGGTGGAAAGATTAAGTTCCTCTAGTTTTTCCCATTGCCATTTTTTCTGGTCTATGGGGATAATCTTCCCTGTCTTTCTGAAGCAGATTAAGTCTGGAAAACCATTCCGTTCTTGGAGGAGGTTTTAACTATATCCACGTGTCACTATTTAGCTAGTTCCTGCAAGGGAATCATCAAAGCAAAACCAAACCCATTGCCGTCGAATCAATTCTGACTTATAGTGACCCTATAGGACGGAGTAGAACTGCTCCATAGGGTTTTCAAGGCTGTAATCTTTACAGAAGCAGACTGCCACATCTTTCTCCTGCAGAGTGTCTGGTGAGTTCAAACCACCAAGCTTTCGGTTAGCAGCCGAGTGCTTTAACCACTGCACCACCAGGGCTCCTTATGGGAGGAATCATCTGTTCACACAAATTAATTCTGACTCTCTGGAAGAGAATGAATAGGGTGGCTGATGCTGAAGAACACTGTCTCAACTCCAGTCTGGTGCCTATTCACAACATGCTCCCCACAGGAGAGCTTCTGCAGGCTCTTTATGCCACTTTCCTTGGTTTGATTCTCATGTTGAAACTATTAGTACTTTCCTGATGCTTTCTGAATCACATCTGTGCTAGTAATTATCCTCTAAGTCCGCTGCTTGCCCTATCTCCTATTTTCTTCTGAAATGTTTGGAGACTGGCCTCTTCAGATTTGTCCAAGGAGATTTACTCCTCAGTCTGACCTGCGGTGGCCACCGCATTTTCCATAAAGACAGAGAAAGAGAGATTCTTGGATCATCTCTAATTTCTTCCACTGCCACTTGAAGCCAAGTGCTTTGGGACATTCCTAAATTGTTTGGGAGGGACAGGTGGACTGCTTTGAAATGAAATAGAGAGAAGGAGGAGAAACATGTTCAAGTCTGAGTAGAGAAACTGTGAGATGAAATATCAGGCCTTAGATTGTTTGCTCGAGTCTCTTTTAAGTGTGCACCAAGAGAAGAAAGACGCATGCCTCATTAAGGAAACAAAACAAAACCAAGTATCCCAGAGGGAAATGAGATTCTACAGAGAAAATTACCAAAGGAGTTAGAGAAGTGTGACATTTATGGATAGTAAAATTTATGGGATTCAAAGAAAGGGAAATAGAGTGTTGAAAAGGCAAATGTTTTATAACCTATATATTTACCACAATTAAAAAAAATATGTGCTTAAAAAACAGGAAAGGGAAATAAGCAGGAGTTAAAGGGGTTATTCCGACTCTAAGCGACTCAAAAGCAACGGGTTTTGGTTTTTGAATGGGGTTACAAGGAGCATTGGTGACGCAGCGGTTAAGTGCTCAGCCGCTAACCGTGGTTCAAACCCACCTGCTTCTCCGTGGGAGAAAGCTCTGGCAGTCTGCTTCCATAAAGATTACAGCCTTGGAAACCCTATGGGGCTGTTCTACTCTGTCCTATAGGGTCAACTATGAGTTGGAATCGACTCCACGGCAATGGGTTTTTTTTTGGTTTTAGAACTCAACCAAGAAGATAAATATCAGTCAAAAGTGCTTTCTGTTCCTTTCTAGAAAGATGAAATCTGAATCTGGTTCTCCTCCTGGTACTTATAAAATGTATCTCCTGGGTAGTTGTCACTGGGAACTCCCCAAAGGTATGGAGCTCTTTTGCTCCATCATTGAAGAACAGCCTGCAGCACAGTCTACTTAGGTGTCTTCAGTCCAAACTCTGGTCTCCTTTGTTAAGATGACACTTATGTCAAAGATCATAAATAAATCACCAGCCACAGAAAGCCTGCCTTACTTGGCCTTTGCAGTAAATGTTTCAGGGTGGGGTTCCCATTACCTGAGCAAAGCACAAAAAAACTCTTTGAGGACCATCCTTCTCAGGCTTGAGATTCCAAAGAGTCTTAATTTCAAATAAATAATTAATCTCCCAATGAGTAGAGATTTTAGGAGATACTTGGAGGTGCTCAATAAGTACCTGCTGAATTAATGGAAGGCATTAGCTTCTACTTTCCAAAACGGAATCTATGCTAGGAATATTGCTTACTAATTGATTTTAGTTTCCTTTCACGAGCCTGAGTTCTATTTCTTTGGTTGTAAACATCCTAAATTCACAGAATTCCCAGCAATGTGCTTGTATTAGTTTCCTAACGGACAATGGACTCAAACATACCAATGACCACGAAGATGGTGCACGACTGGGCCATGTTTCATCTTGTTATACATAAGTTGCCATGAGTTGGAGCCATTTGAGGCAACTAAAAACAACAACATCAGATTCGTAGCGCTGCTATAACAAATTGCCACAAACTTGGTGGCTTGAAACAACAGAAAAGTATTATTTCACAGCTCTGGAGGCTAGAAGTCTAAAACTAAGATAGTGGTAATGTTATGCTCCTGCTGAAGGTTCTAGGGAAGAATCCTTCCTTGCTTTTTCTAGCTTCTGGTGGTTGCCAGCAATCCTTGGTGTTCCTTGGCTTGTAGACACATCACTCCAATCTCTACCGCTGTCTTCAGATGGATTTCTTCCTGTGTCTGTGTTCCTGTGTATCTTCAAATCTCCCTCTCCTTTAATTGGATTTAGGGCCCACCCTAATCCAGTATAACTTCATTACATTTGCAAAGACCACATTTCCAAATAAAGTCACATTCACAGGTACCAGTGGTTTGGACTTCAACATGTCTTTTTTGGGGGCACAATTCAACCCTCAACATAGAGTGGAAACGGTATTGGTTGATGGGTCCTCCATCAAGAGTCAGGAGAGCTGAGTTTATATTCAGTTATCTTCTTGGTGTCACCTTGTGTAAGCCCCTGCTCCTTCTCTGGGCTCCATGTCCTCATCTGTAATAAATTTAAAAGCTTAGTCTAGACAGACAAGTTTCAGGGAGTCTGTGAAACTTCCTGGAATTGGATGCAAAATTTGGAGAAGGTGCATTTTTCTGGAGAAAGAGTGGACCACTTTCATCTGATTATTAAAGAGGTCTGTAGCACCAGTGAGGTTAAGATCAAGTGACCCAGATGACCACTAAAATTCCTTCCAGTTAAAAAGTCTATGATATTAAGATTGACCCCTGGATCATGTTAGTCTCATGCATCTTGCTTCCTTCTCTGCCCCACAGCCAGCCTCCTTGGGTGGGTGGACAGAGGGCCTGCAGCAGGGTTCCACCTCACAGGAGAAAGGGAAAAGTGGCAGTGGTTCTGACATAGTGTAGTCAGAGTCCACTGCCAGGGTGCAACAGTCTAATCTCCATGTCCACCTCAGAGCATGATCCAGAATTAAGCCAACACTGTTACAGACAGAGGCTTAGCCAGGCCCCAAAGGAAAAGACTCAGCAAGAGTAACTATTCATTTGGGCTTTCCCAGCTGCAGGCACAATAGCAACTGCTGCCAGAGCTCTGATCCAACCATTGGCTCTTTTAGGTGGAGTAAGAGATTTGCTGAGATAGTTTCAGGGCAAGATGCATCTTGTTGATACATTAAGCCAAACCTTCACCAGGATAACGCCTAACAAGGGAGTACTGTGTATGTTCATGGTCTCGTGGGCTTCTTAGTCTCCTTCTGAGATGCAGCTTGTATTTGGGAGTTAATTGTGGTACTTCCCCCCTATCTCTGCTAATAACTTTCCCAGCTTTGGGTATTTTACCAGAGACATGGAGGGTGAAGTACACTTATCCTCTCCCTCTTCTACTGTCCAACCACGAATCATCTGCAATGGATTTCAGTACCAATGTGGTTGACTCTCCTGACTTCTGCTCCACCACTAGGCAATGGATGCTCCAATAGACAAACTCCTGTAATGTGAACTGAGCTACAATGAGAAGATGAATCTCTCAAATAAATACCATCTTGTGGATTCCAAAATAAAAAGGAAGCAACTTCTCTTTTTTTGTAATGCATTATGTACGAGTATCAAGTATCTTAAAAATCTTCATATACTTTGACCTAGTAAGTTTACACTTTGAGAATTTACCCTAAGTAAAGAATCTTAAATGAAGGAAAAGCTTTATGCGCAAAGATTTTCACTGCAACATTATTGTAACGGCCAACAATAACAAAAAAGAGCTACAGAAAGAAAGAAAACAGCTTAAAGATCTCACTGTGGGGAATGGCTAAGGAAATTTTGATAAATCCATTTGACGAATTTGAATTAAGTAGCCATTCATAAAAAAGATTTTCTCAGGAGCATGTATATAGGGGAGGGTAGCAAAGAAGGGGAAATGCCATGTATTTAATACAGGCAGATGATGAGTTATGTGGTATGGTGGGTTGAATACTATCCTCCAAAAATGCATGTCCACACAACCTCAGAATGTGACCTTAAATGGAAATAGGGCTTTTGCAGATGTGATT